GTGGTTCGTAATTAATTCGAAGTCCAGGGGAATGACATACTTGGTACCATAGGCGGTCTTTATTTCCGTTGCCTTAGCCACTGCAGTCTCGCCTGAGGAGTCCGTGGGTTGTGTCTTCGTAGGCGTACGCACCTTACGCAGAATAACGCTACCAATTCCTTGTTCTATCCTTTGAGCACGGTCGAATGCAGTCAACCACAAGTCCTTGTACGTGGTGTACAGGTTGTACCTATTCAAATCCAACAAGGATTCCCCAGCGAACTTGATGCGCATTTTGGACACCAGGTTACGACCTACATTATTGACGATAATCCTTTCATCCGTGGTAGTAGGTTGCACTGCTAGGTCAAACCTTAGCGCTAACGTGCCGGGTACCAACACTAGGTTATCCGTTAGACGGGGTACGCCTACGTATAAGGTTTCTCCTGGCTTTGCGCTGCTGGGCGTGAATGTGACCCGGTGAAAGGTGCGTTCTGCCTTTAGTCCGCCAACCTGCTTRGGTAATACGTTGGGGTTTAACTTTGAGCTTATCATATATAATGGAGGTAGACGAAACTACTGACTTTGACCCCACCACTGAGGAAGGCAAAGAAGACATCAACGACGGCGACGAAGAACCGCTGCTTCCCACCCAACAACCTGACGATTCCCTAAGGAATAGGATTACGAATGCCCTAAGACATCCCCGAGCACGCGAGTACATATTGGCGGGCGAGCACATAGAGCTAGAGAATTTGGGCGCCGTAAGCTTGGCCGTGCAGCGGCTAAAAGATACGTATTCCAACTTTAACCCAGACGAAGTAAAACTTACCGAGCGCGGCGGTAGAGTCTTCATAAGCGTCCAAGACCTGAGATTTTCCGACAAAAACCGCTGGACGAAACCACRACCCCTTTTCGACGAAAATGGCGAAGTTAGGGGTGACGTGGCGAGATTAAGAGGTTTTCAACTAGCTACCCGGAGCGACTTAGAAAGGTTGGAAACCCTGAATGAGAGGGTTGCGTTAGAGAGGCGCGTCGAGGAGCTGCAAGAAACTTTGGAAGAAAGGGAAGCAGAATACATGAGACAAAACCAACTGCTCGCCGATGCTCAAAAGAGAGAAATCGACGATAAAAACCAAAGAATGATAGAAATGAGAGAACGAACAGACAATGCCCTACGCGAAAGAGACCAAGCCCAAAGAGCCTTCGATCTTGTCCTGCAAGACCTGGACATTAGTAAGGAAGAAGCAAAAAACTTGCATATCACCATAGCCGGCTCTTTGGAGGAACGGCGCCAGTTGGTTGCCGAAATCAGCACCAAAGAAGAGCAAATCCGGCAAAGAGATCAGGCTATTGAAGACCTGGAGGGGCAAATAGAGCGGCAGCAGGAAATAATTAATGACCAGACTCGTCCCGAAGAGGAAAGGGAGGCTGCCCAGAGGGAATCAGAAACCCTTCAGGTGCGCCTTGCGGAATTACAGGCGCAAAAGGACAACCTGGAAAAGGAGCTGGGGCTTACTACCAAGGAAAAGGTAAAAAGAGCCCTTTTGAAGTATGGTCTTCCGCTGGCATTTGCGGTCGCTATTAGCACCGTAGTAGGAGTTATCCTTAACGCGCTTAAGGCTACGGGCGCAGGCGTAAAGAAACTGGGCTCTGGTTTGGCGGACTTGGGGAAAAAGATGGCAGCCGGCTTGCCTGGGCTGCTTGGTAG